AGCCGGCCATGTTGCTGCCCCGCTCCGATTGGCTAAAGCGCGAGTAGGAATATAGCGGGAAAAATGCAGCCCGCTTATTGGTTTACCCTGTCTGACAGCTCCCTATTTAAGCAGCTGTCAGGCGGCTACAAGTTGTCAATGTTCACACACGCGCGCACTGTTGCCTTGTTCTCTGTTAGCATTTGGTTAGAAATAAGGCGTTTCCTCAAGCCTTGCCTCTGAGTACCTGCCTAGTTCTCCAGTTAGAACATGCTGTGTTACATATAGGGGTTTTTTATATACATATTTGTGCTCATTAGCTTAAACTTAACATAGAAACGTGAGTATTTAGAGCTCTTACAATCAGCTCTTGCAGACACCATCCATTAGTTTTTTAAACCAGCTGTAAAAAATCTTGGCATATTATGCACTGACTCCACTGTTTAACACCCTACTGTAACAGAAACTGACCTGGTGTTGCTTTTACATACCTTTTCTGGGTCAAGGTCAAGAAAGATCAGTTGGATTTACCTAGCTTTGTTTTCCCATCTTCTGGCAGGAAAAGCAAAGTTGGGCACATGTTGGGCAAGTGTAGGCAAGTGTTTAGAACAATGGGTTCTGGTATACTGCCAGGCGTTCTTAACTTTAATGAATATGTTTTGATTTTAAACTGTTAACATTTATGATTTTCAAATAATCAAGCCACAGTGAAATACATACTGTAAAAGTGTCCATCCTTCCATAATATGGCTTCCTCACTGAGGATTAAACTATAACCAATTTTGTTTCCTCTCTGATTGCTGAGGAACATTATATTGTGATGGCTATTGCTGAGTACAAGGCAGGGGTGAAATGCTCCCGGTTTGGACCGGATCGGGTGATCCAGTAACAATTGTGGCAGGTGATTCAGAGAACCGGTAGCGATGGCGGCGCGAGGCTCCGCCTACCCGCCCAGGTGTCATTACTCCCTTTTAAAGGTAAAAAAAAAAAGGCTCTGATGATCACAGCTGTGGCACATGATCGACAGAGCCTTTTTTTAACCTTTTAAAAGCATTTTTTTACAATCTATTCGCCCGAATAGGTTGTTAAAAAATGCTTTTAAAAGGTAAAAAAAAAAGGCTTTGTCTGTCGTGAGGCACAGCTGTGATCTTCAGAGCCTTTTTTTAACCTTTTAAAAGCATTTTTTTTACAACCTATTTGTAGAGACCACACACACACAAAGGTTGAGGATATATGTGGTAACTTTATTGTCTTACATAGTGACATTATATAGTTTGTTACTTTCAAGTTACAGCATACTTGGCAGAATATCATTGGCTCACAGAATCTTCCAGGTAACTTAAATCATAGGTTAATCATTACTGCTGGCTTAAGCACTTCTAATATTTGGCTATAATTAAAATCTAATACACATCCCACTTCCTCTCGTCCTGTTCCTCTTGTTTACAGAATTAGGGCCTTATCTTCTAATGTAATTTCCTGGCGCTTACGTGCAAGTAACCTTTCTTATCTGAGGTTTGCCATCCAAGATAGGAAAATCCCTGCACATATGCAGATTGTAGATTCCTACACCTATTCACCCGAATAGGTTGTAAAACTATGCTTTAAAAAAGTAAAAAAAAAAGTTGGCCACACCCACCCAGTCACATTACCCCCCCAAGTCACGCCCACAAATGGGTAGTAACAAATTTTACATTTCACCATTGGTACAAGGACATATGCAGAACCCACAACCTACTTTGCATTCTTTTTTCAAGCTTGCTAGTGGAAGAAGAGTCCATTTTGGTGGGAGGAACTGGACACTGAATTGTCATCGGTGGAATGAAAGCACAACAAAGCAGTTGAGGCATAACCAGTAGTCAGGCATAACCACAGAGGGGAATGGGACAACTTGCCCTGGCCAACTCCTCGCAGCCTACTTGCTGCGGGACAATGCGCCATGGCCAACTCGCCATGGGACAACTTGGTGCAGGACAATGTAACAATTCTATTTCATTATTTAAAATAAATAAAAAATATTTTAATTTTTGCCATTCACATTTTATTCTGTTCCTCCTTTTGCATTCTTTCTTTAATGATTCTATTCCACCATTACTTGGATATTAGTATAACTCTTGTCCTGCAGCGAGTTGTCCTGTGGTGAGTTGTCTGTGGCAAGTTGTCTGTGGTGAATTAGCCATGGTGAGTTGGCTGTGGCGAGTTGGTCATGACGAGTTGGCCATGGCGAATTGTCATAGACCTTACCAGAGTGCGCCAAATTGAGCTTGAGTCTATTGTAAAATGACTGGTGCAAAACCTGCAACCCACAATTAAGATGACTCTTTCTATTCGCAGAAACTTTCTGTTTTGGTAGAGCAACCCCATTTTTGAAGAGAATAGCACTCCGCATAATTCCTTCTTCAGTCCTTGCCATCATATCCTTTATGGTTTTTGATGGAGAAACAGGTGGAGCCAGAAAGATACTCTTCTCTCTATATTTAGGCAAAACCCTGCTGGCAGAAAAAACAATTTAAAAAGGGATCATATCCTTTGATTGTTCATTTTATAATAATAGTGTTTTATCATACATGTATTGGTCAATTTGACATGGTCTCTCTTTGAAGATCATGGACTCTAAGTCCTGTGGAATAATCTGATTCTTTCCTCATGGGTTGAAACCTGATTTCCAAGTTCAAAGATGTGGGCAAAATTTATTTACTATAATTTAACATATTTATATGGCTGCCCATCTACCAAAAATCTCTGGGTGGCAAACAAATAAAAGTAACAATAGAATCCATGATATTAAACAAATGGCATAAGAAATATAGCAATAATAGTCTTTTAAAAAATCTTAAACCATAACAGGTAGACCTGCACCCATATCAGAACTCCAATAGCTCCCTAAGAGCAGCACCTGCGGGAAGAGCCAGACTATTCCAGCCTTACAGAAGTCTAAGAAAACAAATAATTCAGCTTTCCCTTTCAACAAGTGAAGAAATATTTAGTAGCCTGTTTGCCAATTGAAGCACTTTGTTATGGATTTTGTGCCAACCTGATTTGGAGAGAAGAGTCTTTATGTTTTAAAATAATGGCTAGATATAAATCTTTCACATACAATGCACAGCTTTATGGGGAAGAGAAAAAAATTCCCCTAGTGCAAGAACAAGATGTTTGCTGAAGAAATCCAGAGGCATCACAAAACTCTTTCTGAGAATGTATTTATTTATTAGATTCTTAATCCCATTTTTATTACTTTATAAGTAACTCAAGGTAGAGAACATACCCAATAATCTTTCTTCCTTCTATATTCCCTTCACCATCTTCCCTGTAAGGATGGGCTCAGAGAAAGTTACTGGGTCAGTCACCCAGATGGCTTTCATGGCCAAGGAGGGTATGGGTTAACCGGTCCAAACCGGCAGCAGCTCACCTCTGGTTGTGATAGGTCGGACACGACTTCGCGACTAACAACAACAATCTCCCTCCCTCCCTCCCCACATCTCTGTGTGTGTGTGTGTGTCTGTGTCTCTCTCTCTTGCAAGATCACACAGAGAAGAAAAAATGCCATACCCCTTATCATTATATTTCTAATTTAGCTTTGGCTTAGTATACTCTGGACTCCAGGAGATTGTAAAACATGATTTATTGCACATCACCTTGGAAGAGATTGATTTCAGAATAAACATTTGCAAGCCACCCTTTTATCTTTATTAAATTGGGTTCAGAGATGTGGTTGCCACATAACCAGGAGATGCATGATGGCAACTACTGTACTTTGCTTCTATGAGTGCTGAAAATTCATCTGCAACTCCATTGGTAGGTGACTTCTGTCCACACAAACCATCTCCAGAAGTAACAAAAAGCGGTCTCTGGACAACCTGAGCTGGAAAACCACTTACACCAAGGAGACACAAAACTCAACCCTAAAGTCCCAGTATCCCTTTGGAAGATACTCCACATATCTCCACATTTTAGTTTATGCTGGGAAAGGTGGAAGGAAAGGGAAGAGGAAGAAGAATCAGTAAGCAAGGTGGACAGTAGTGATGAGTTGAGAAGACCTGAAAAACCAGGTTGGGGACAAATCATAAGGGAGAAAATCTAGATACGTGGTCACTACATGTTAGGAAGAGTTGATGGTACATAATCAACCTGTGGAAAGAAAAGATGAATATGAAAGGATCTGTAGAGTGGACAGCCACTTGTCTGAAATGGTATCAGGTCTCCTGCTTGAGTGTGGGGTGGATGGGGTTGGACTAGAAGACCTCTAAGGTCCCTTCCAGTTCCATTCTGATTGATTGATTAATGATCGATTGAAATGCCTAAGATCACTGGGATTGAATCGAAAGGGATTCTCTCTAGTGAGATAAGGACGGAGCAGAAAACACAACCGCAAAGATACTCGGGAGTGACTTGCCTTTATTAGTACAACTTTAACATACCGTCCAAATGCAGCAAGCGTTCCCTTCCACAGACCTGTTGCCGACTCCTGATGGGATGATTCAGCTCTCACGCTGACTCAGTCAACGGGCTGGGAAACCTGAAGACCGGGCATCAGTTCAGCCTGAATCAGGAAGGCACCACAATGTTGGGAGACCGTCGCACAGGACAAAAGTGAACATTGTGAACAAAGTGAACATTTAGTGGACATTGTTGTGAGCCGCCCTGAGTCCGGCTGGAGATAGGGCGGCATATAAATCACATACATACATACATACATACATACATACATACATACATACATACATACATCGGATTACAAACCAGGGGCGCGAACTCCAGCCGCTGACTTTTAAATCTGAGCCGCTTTAGCGAGAAGTATGGGTGGGGGGGGCGCGTGGGAAGGGGGGGAGCGGTCCCATTCCCGCGATCCCCGGCAGATTGAAAGCAGTCGCGCGCCCGGGCGAAGAAGAGAGGCGGGTTCCGACGACACAGGGTCGGGCGAGCCCCTCCCTGTCTTCGCACCTCGCCATGCCTTGGTTGGGAGGGGAGGCGGTTATAATCCATGGCAGGTTTCGCCTTGGCCTCTTCCGTCGTGGCTGAGCGTCCCTTCGGCAGAACCCGAGGCCATGCAGTGCTGGCCGAGCCTGGTGATGACCCTGAGCGCCCTGATGGCGCTTTTGGGGGTGCTGCACTTGTGGCTCTTTCGTCACCAGCCCACTTACTACGGGAAGCACGAACCCCGCCAGTCGAGGCCGGGGAAAAACCCCGCCGCGAGGACCCCGCGCTGCACCCACCTGCCGTCCCGCTGCGCCTGGTTCCTCCAGGAGCTGCCTTCCTTCCTGGTGCCCGCGCTTCTGCTGGCGCTGCGCAAGCCTCCGCGCTTCGCGCCGCTGGGCTGCAGGCTGCTGGCTGGCATGTTCTGCGGCCACTATTTCTACAGGTACCTCGCTTGGGAAGGAGGTCGGGCTGGAAAGAGAGGAGCGGAGCGGAGAGCGCGCCCATCTCCCCCTGCGCCGCTTCTGTAAGCGGATGCGCCGGTTTTTCTATGCTTGCTATTCTAAGCCTGAGGCGAATTCGCCTAGTTATGTATTGCGGGGCGCGGAGTGGACGGGGCGGCAGAAGGGAATGTCCAGTCTACTAGGCGCTTCTTCCACACCCTGATCCTTTTTACCGGGGTGGGATGGGAAATTGAGTTCCAAGCGCCCTTTACGCGAGTACGGAACGTGGAGAGCTTCGAGCGGCTTCTTCTTCAGCTCTGGAGTGGCGATCCAAGTGAATTCTTTCTTTGGAAAGAATTAAAACTTTTTCGCTTCTTTCAGGATTGACTTTCCGCGCAGATTTTTTTTTTTTGTGGGGGGGGAGGTGGGGCGGGGGCAAGGCAGCGGGAAGTTCGTTCTTTGCCGTTCCGCAAAAGGCGCCGAGATTTGCGAGGGATTCTTCGGTGTGCCAGGTGTACAGGATCGCAGCTTTATAACTCGGTGGGAATTACGAGGCTGTTATTGAGAAGTCGCCGTTGTTCCGTTGCTCAGGTCAGATTTTGAGCTCGGTTTAAGGCTCGTGTTGTTTTTGAACCGGCGGAGCGAGATTGAAGTCTTAGCCAAAGTAAATTCCAATAAAAGTTTGTTTACAGAGTAACATTCATTTTCTAGTCGACCTTCACTGCCAGGTTTAGTGGATAGGATCCGCAGTTCCTGCAAATAGTATTCTCGAGTAGCTGAAATGATGATGCTTTGCATCATCTTATGGTTTGTTTGTTTTTTTTAAAGAGAGCAGTCTAAAAATATCCATACATGTAGAGAGGTTATCTTGAGAAGTCTTAGTCTTTTCTGTCTCCTGCAATTTATTGCAATAAATGTTCAGCTTCTATTTTTAAAAACGAGGAATGAGGAAGAAAGAAGATATTAAAGCTATTGATGGAACAGCTTGCTTTCCCTGGCATACTAAGATCTTGATACCATATGAAACTGGTTTTGTACTTCTAACACTTTATTGAACGATTTACACCATTCACCTTTTATGTCCCGTGCCCTTCCAGAGCCTCAGCGCTGTCTTCCTAATCCTTTAAAATCTTTTTTTTAAAAAAAACGATTTTATTTTTTTATATACTATATTTTCATTCATACATTAAAAGGGCAAGAATAAAAATATAAAAATGTAAGTTTCTTGAACAAAATTCCCAACCAAAATTCCTGGGAAGGATAGCCAACCCCAATGTATCCTGCAAGACGTGGACTACAATTCCCACAATTCTCATCTAGCAACGGGCTCTAGGTTTTGTAGGAGTTGAAGGAGGGGTTGGAACTACCAAGATTTTTGTTAACCACATTTGTAGATTTATCCATGAGTGTCCGTGTGTAGAAAATCCTACTGGCTCTGTTCCTGTTGTGAAAGTGGATTCTTCCATATAGGCAGAAGGAGGGATTAGATCAGAGGTCTTCAAACCTCGCAGATTTAAGACTTGTGCACTTCAACTCCCAGAATTCTCCAGCCAGCATAGCTGGCTGGAGAATTCTGGGAGTTGAAGTGCACAAGTCTTAAATCTGACAAGTTTGAAGACCCCTGGATTAGATGATCTTGAAGGGCTATTCCAATCTTTACACTGTTTGATTCAGTGGCACCTGCTACCAAAATACCTTCTATGTACAGCAGCGGTTGTAATAGCTTTGCAGAAGAATTGTAACTGCCATTTTAAGGCCATATTGTTATAACACTCGCTTGGAAGTTGCCTCATTTGAAAGACAAGCGGTTGGCTTGGTGTTACATCTCCGATATAGTAACTTTGAAAGGGCAAGTAAAATAAAACCTTTAATGTGTGTGTGCCAAAGACACACTGTGTAAATGTCATATTACATAATTTCATTAAAAAGAGATTAAAGGCGATATAAATTTTTGTTATTAACATTTTAATATTGATAAAAATATTAAAATGAATGTTTCTAATTATCCTTTATAATTGGTTTTGGAAGATACAGCTTATATTCAGCTATATAAAAATATGACATTTGTGCTGGCTTTTTAAGGTTAAAATAAAAGTGGTATTGACAGATGCAGGATTCAAATGTATAAAGTTGTATAAAATGTACATTTAACAAAAATGGCCTAATCTAGTGTAAGAAGGGAGAAAATCAAAGAAAGCTAAGGGTTAATTTAATGACAATGGCTCTCTACAATGCAAGTTGATTTGTGGTGTGCCAGTTCTCTTTCACCCAATTCTCTGGGAGCTGAATGTGATTAAGAACGGAGTGAAGTCTCTTTAGAGAAGCGCTTCTCAATCTTGGTAACTTTAACAGGTGTGGACGTCCCTTTGCTGGCTGGGGAATTTGGGGAGTTGAAATCCATACATCTTAAGGTTATCAAAGATAAGAAACATTGGTTTTTAGAGGTTCTTCTGGGGCTCATCCACACAGCAGCTCCAGGTCTCGCTGTTTCAGCAGAATAAGGAAGATACTTAGGGATGATTCACATCTTGGCCAGTGTTTCTTTTCAGCTTTACCATTGGACAGAAGACATCGAAGCATAGCCAGGCGGACAAACAGGTTTAAAAACAGTTTTTATCCATGGGCTGTCAGACTCCTGAACACAATCACAATCACTCCACGTACATATGGAAACGTATGACTGTTCCCCCCCCCCAATTACTTGTATAAGGATTATTCTCTATAATATAGGAGAGGTGGGGGGGAGAGAGAGAGAGAGAGAGAGAGACCATCTTATTTGTCTCTTGAGAAACCTATATGTGGGTCAAGAAGCAACAGTGAGAACTGGACACAGAACCACTGATTAGTTCAAAATTGGGAAAGGAATCCTGCAAGGCTGTATACTGTTGCCCTGCCTATTTAATTTATATACAGAGCACATCATGAGAAAGGCGGGGCTAGATGAATCAAAAGTTGGAATTAAGATTGCCAGGAGAAATATCAACAACCTCGGATATGCAGAAAGCGAAGAGGAACTAAAGAGCCTCTTGATGCGAGTGACGAAGGAGAGTGCAAAAGTTGGCTTGAAATGCAACATTAAGAAAACTAAGATCATGGCATCTGGCCCTCTCAATTACAGGCAAATAGATGGGGAAGAAATGGAGGTAGTGACAGATTTTATTTTCCTGGGCTCCAAGATTACCACAGATGGGGACTACAGCCAAGAAATTAAAAGATGCTTGCTCCTGGGGAGGAAAGCTATGGCAAATCTAAACAGCATACTGAAAAGCACAGATATCAGCCTGCCAACAAAAGTGCGTATAGTCAGGGCTATGGTGTTCCCAGTTGCAATGTATGGCTGTGAAAGCTGGACCATAAGAAAGGCTAAGCGCCAAAGAATTGAGGCCTTTGAACAATGGTGCTGTTGTGACCCAGGCCCAAGTAGGTATTATCAGATGCAATCAGTTTGAAACCAACAGACTTTATTAGAACAGCTGAGAATTAACACATTCTCAGCATAGTCCAAACTAATTAAAAACAAATTCTTCATAACACAATTCTTCAGCCTTATCACCAACCTTGGGCTAATTAGGCAACCTGCCAAAGGCTTTTCTTGGCAAAAATTCAAAAGCAGTATTGCTGACAAGAGATAAATGCAGCAAGACAAGAAACAAATCTATCAAAGTTGTTTTCCAACAAAGAGCTCAAGAGCCATTGCTGGTCTCTTAAGCCTTATGGGAGAGGCCAATCATCTCTTAGCCCTACTCCCAAGTTGTCCTTTTTGCTTTAGCTGCTCTTGCCTTCTGGCAGCTCTTCTCATGCGTGCACTAGGAACAGGCTCCTCCTGCTCCTCTGCCTCTCTGCTGTCAGCCTCTGGAGGCTCCGGAGTCTGTACATCACTCCTAGATGGCCCTGGCCCCATCTCTGCCTCTGACGCAGAGCCCTCATCCGGGCCTTCCCCAGCCTCCAGGATTGGCCCATGTTTTCCTCAGCCTCCTCACTGTCCGACTCCACTGCCAGCTCCACAGGCTGCTGGCGGACCACAACAGGTGCTGGAGAAGACTCCTGCAAGTCCCTTGGACTGCAAGGGCGATCAAACCGGTCAGTCCTAGAGGAGATCAACTTTGACTGCTCTTTAGAAGGCCAGATCCTGAAGATGAAACTCAAATACTTTGGCCACCTAATGAGAAGGAAGGACTCAACTGGAGAAGTGCCTAATGCTGGGAAAGATTGAGGGCAAAAGAAGAAAGGGACAACATAATGAGGTGGTTGGATGGAGTCACTGAAGCAGTAGGCATGAGTTTAAATGGACTCCAGAGGATGGTAGAGGATAGGAAGGCCTGGAGGAACATTGTCCATGGGATCGCGATGGGTCAGACACATCTTCGCAACTAACAACAACAACTCTATACAATTCATGTTGTCTTGTATTTTCTGTTATGGATTATACCAGTAGAGGCTAAATCAATTTTGTTGTATACCTGATGTGCAATGACAATAAAGGCTATTATTATTATCTCTTTTATTCATTAAACGTGAAACTCAGTCAACTGAACATTCAAAAATGCATCACAAATACCATTGACTGGTGCTAATGGTTGATACGAGTTGCTGCCAGTGTCCTAGGTATCAACCAAGTACCTTCTTAAGATGTACGATGTTCCGCGGGTGTTATAGCAGGAAGCTGCAATTTCTTGATGTGTTTTGTAAAATTCTTGGACATGGTACCAAGTGCCCTGATGACAATGGGTATCACTGTTACATGTTTCATCCATAGCCATGTAGTTTTGATGGCTAGGTCACTATTATTATTATTATTATTATTATTATTATTATTATTATTATTATTATTATTATATCCTTCCTTCCCTCTGCCCCAAGACCAGGAACAGAATATGCCAACACATGAAATTGCCTCACAGTATGTATTTAACCCTGCCTCTGGGATCCAGCTGTACTGGATTACTGTTGATACAGCAAAACCAGATGAACTTGAATGGTTTATGATAGGCAATTACGCTCC